TTTTTTTTTTTTTTTTTGGTTGCTGAGTAACATTCCATGTGTATAGCAACATCCTTTTTTTTTTTTCTTAGCTCTACATTGGAAATAATTTTCTAACAATTTAGACCTACCCAATTCTTTTTCATTCTTGCATATTACTGTCGTTAACCTACTTCTTTACCCATTCTTTGTTTGGTGGACATTTGGGTGGGTTTAGTTTTTGCAATTACAAAATCACAGTAAATATTCTTGAACATTCCCTTTTGCACCATTGTAGATACTAGTAACAGAAAATACTCATTTAAAGAAATGTTTGATGTTAGATGTTCCATTTGTTCTTCAAAAGTTGTGCATTAATGAGTGGGTTCACTTTCCTTTATATCTAGCACCTAATACAAACATTTAAAATGTTTATCAATCTGGTACCACTTACCAGACTGTTGTCCATTTACTTTGTATAATCTCGAGGAAAGTTCAATATTTACTGTCCACTACAGGTGGGGTGATCTCATTCCTCCCCTACTGAAGTTTGTTCTTATTTGTCTATCCTGACTTCTATTGGGTTATGTCTTGTTCATTTGTAAAAGAATTAATATGCATAGAAACCCTTTGCAGCATACTGAAATGTTTTCTCCTGTCTTTTTACTTTGTGGTGTTTTTTATCCCTTACATTTTTAATTTTGACATGGCCACTTTATTAATCTTACCCTTTAGAGCTTATGCTTTGTGTCCTTTTTTTTTTAAGATTTGTTTATTTATTCATAGAAAACTGGGGTACAGGGCAGAGGTGCAGGGGTGGTGAGAGGTTTTACCAGAGACAGAGTGGGGAGCAGAACAGGCCGACTGACAAAGTACACTACTGAGGGGAGCAGCAGTCGTGTCAGGAGAGGTCTGCTGCGCCATGTGGGTCACCTTTGGGGCTGGGGATCGAACTCATGCTGAATGGCTTTAACTTCTTAGTGCTGTGCTTTAACCTACTGTGCTATCAGGGAGGGAGGGCCCTCTGTGACTTATTTAGGAAGACTATTATCCAAGATATAAAGGTGTTCTATATTATTCATAAAAACATTTACTATAATACTTAATATTTTATATTTAGATTTGGAGTTGACTTTTATGAAGCTAGATTATATATTTCATATTTTTTCAAATAGGTATCTGATTGTTCCAAAATGATTTGACATTATCTGAAAAATTGAAATGTCATTATAACATAATAAATTTCCATACATATGAGTCAATTTTTGGAAACTTTTTATAGATCAATTTTTGAATTCATATGACAACGTTTCAACTGCTACGGCTTTATTATGTGCTCTGATTTTTATTCAACCACGTCTTCTTTGTTCTTTTACAAAATTGCTTCTGCTATTCATAACATTTACTTCCACATAAAACTTAAAATAATCTTTGTCAAGTTGCATTAAAAAAAATCCCACTGGGCCTTTTATTGCAATTGCATTAAATTCATGAGTTAATTTAGAGAAATGAACTAGGAGAAATGACATTTTACAATCTTGACTCCGTATCACATCAATGTGACATACTCTAACTGCTGTTGGTGTCAGTCATGGACTTGAATAAATACATCCCTCTGCTTGTAAATAAATTGTTTTAAGAGAATAGGATCTTCCACTTTTTTTTTTTAAGATTTATTTATTCGTTCATAGAGCTGGAGTATAGGCCAGAGGTGCAGGGGCAGTGAGAGTGTAACAGGTACATGGACTCTGCCCCCCCCCCTCCAGATACTGGAACTACAAATCCCATCAATACCAAGGAGAAGCACGCTGGGACATGAGGGCGGAGCTGAGCAGCCAGGTTAGGATAAAACCAGACATGTGGGTTCTGGGGGCTCTTGGCCTGGTGGTTTGCTACTGGTCGTTTGGCGCTCAATCGGTTTTCAGTGTGCTAGTGGAGTCCAAGTCAGCAGAACTGGTAGGACATTCTAGTTAACCTGTGTTTCTCTCCCTCTTTCCCTGGGTTGTTTCTTTTACCTTTCTCCTTGTAAATAAATCCATTATTGAACCTTTTTGAGTGTGTCCACAGTACAACTGAATCTTAAGCGCGCAGGTAAGGACCCACAGATAGGCACCGCAATTCACACTGGGGTACCCTGTAGCAAGAGGGCTCACCAGAGTCAGAGTTGTGTGCAGAACAGGCAGACTGATGGAATACATTGCTGAGTGCTGAGGGAGTGGACAGCAGGCTGACAGGAGAGGTCTGCTGTGACATGTGGGTGACCCCCCAACCCTCTGGGAATCAAACTAAAGTGGCTGCAGCTAGCTTAGCTTCCTAGTGCTACACTTTAACTCACTGTGCCAGCAGGGAGGGCCCCACTTTTTTAAGCAATAGACCCCAAATTATATGAAGTTACACACAGTACACTAATGTGTACTTAATATACAAAGATTATTTTTTAAATGATTAAGCAATTTTTATACACATGTATTCTTTTGTTTTAAATCATTTGCTCTCATTAAAAATAGTAGTAGGAAAACAGCACTCCTAAGACGATTATACCAAGAACAAAGTGACTACATGCACTTAATTTAAAATAGTTTTTAACATTTGATAACTCAAGTGTGAAGGGCTGACTCTTTTAGTCAATATGGAGGTATAATTTATGCATAATAAACTGCATTCATTTAAACAATATAGTTTGATGAATTTTGAAATATCTACTCACCTATGTAAGATGTATCAACACAATTAAGATGCATCATAACTCCACCCACTCCCGCCACCCCTGGGGCTAGGAATTGATGTTTTCCAGCACTGTACAACCACTTGCATTTTCTAGAATTATATGTACATACAATTGTCAGGGACCAGCCCCAATCACGGGTTGTTGGGGGGCAGAACAGGCAGGGTCTTAAAGTGGGAGTGGCTTGGGTGAGCAGAGATTCCTAAAAGGGGAGCAGGCACAAAGAAGACACGGGAATCGGAGTTGGGTGCGAGTCTTCCTGTTCTGCTCTTAGCAGTTTATTTTATACATTAGGAGCAAGAAGTGGGATGACATCAGCACCATGAACTGGGCTGAGAGATTATAATCACCTTTTTTTTTTTTTTTCCAAGAACAGTTTGGGGTTGCATTAACCTTCAGCTGAGGTTATAACATTTATTATTCTTAAAATCAATCTATTAAAGTTAGAATAGATACATAAATTCATAAAATTTAAGGCTAACATTTACCACAGTGATGATTGACTAAAGTCCCTTAAACCTTAAATGGAAATTTAGGCTCTTGTCAGGGCAGTAAAAGGACTCTAAATATTTTTTAACATGTTCTAGTACTGCCTTGTCTTAGGATATTGATTTTGTTATAATTGCTTTTATTAATCAGCCAGTTATAATATTATTTTTGATTTCAAGAGGGATTTCCCTTCCTGGGGCAGCGCTTGCTCGCCTGAGCCAGGCAGCACCTTATGAAGCTAAGGCAATCCAGTTGAGAACTGATGGTTGCTTAGAATATTTTGATGATTATACAAAACAGGGAGGTCATAAGCTAGCACGGAATTTCTGATTTTTCAGAACATGTCCCCTCCATCTGGACCATGTCTGGCGACAGAAGTTGCATATAGCTTGTGTCATAAAATATGGACTCTTTAATATCTCAGTTGACACAGCATGATAATTTTGGAGAGTAATCTATTTTTGCAGATACTAACAATGTTAAGTAGCATCGCTTCATAGCGCTTTTACAACCTACCTGTTTACTGACACTTGTTTTCTATATTCAGTTTACAACTAATTCTATTATAAACAGTCATATATGTTCATGTATATTTATGTCTTTGTATTTACATTTGTTCCCTTTTTTTAAGATTTATTTATGCATACAGAACTGGGGTGCAGGCCAGAGGCTCAGGGGCGGTGAGAAG